CACGGCAGCCCCCCCCCTAACCCCATTACCTTCCTGCCCCCATCTCCCTCCTCCACCACCCACCAACCACCACTCCTCATCACGAGTCCGTACCCACAGAATCCCCCAGCTAAGTTCACATAAAGCCCTAGTGACCTCTTTTCACCCGCCGGCGAGAAAGACATCCGCCCACACACATACACTGGAACACATACCTACACACACATACATACACTGGAACACATACCTACACACACACATGAACATATACCTACACACACATACACATGAACACATACCTACACACACATGAACACATACCTACACACACATACATACACATGAACACATACCTACACACACATGAACACATACCTACACACACATGAACACATACCTACACCTACATACACATGAACACATACTTACACACACACGTGAACACATACCTACACACATACACATGAACACATACCTACACACATGAACACATACCTACACACATACACGTTTCGCAAGCGTAGAGAAGGGAGGGAATGATCGGCACGGTAGACACGGGAGTCGTGGTGGTGTGGGTAGCACCGAGCCAAGCTACCTTTGTCTTCCCACTTACGATGTTTCACATACCGCAACAGGTACCTATTTAAGGCTTGAGTCGACCTATCACAAACGCAATTCCATCACAGACATTCCGAGTTTACTTCCCCCCCATTACATTCACCGTGCCCCCTATCACACAGACCCCTCATCACCCCCACCCTCCCATCACACGCGAATCTGCCCCCTTCCCTCCATCACACACTCCACCTACGCCCCATCACCCCCCCTCAACTCCATCACACAGTCTCCCATTACATCCCCCATACCACCCCCATCACCCAGCCCCCCCCCCCATCACACACAGCCCCCCCATCACACACAACCCCTCCCCCATTACACACAGCCTCCCCCCATCACCCCCCCCCTATCACACACAGCCCCCCCCACCACACACAGCTCCCCCCACCACACACAGCCTCCCCCCATCACCCCCCCATCACACACAGCCCCACCCATCACACACAACCCCCCCCCCCCACCACACACAGCCTCCCCCCATCACCCCCCACCCACCACACACAGCCCCACCCACCACACACAGCCCCCCCCCACCACACACAGCCCCACCCACCACACACAGCCCCACCCACCACACACAGCCCCACCCACCACACACAGCCCCCCCCCACCACACACAGCCCCCCCCACCACACACAGCCCCACCCACCACACACAGCCCCCCCCACCACACACAGCCCCACCCACCACACACCGCCCCCCCACCACACACAGCCCCCCCCACCACACACAGCCCCCCCCACCACACACAGCCCCCCCACCACACACAGCCCCCCCACCACACACAGCCCCCCCACCACACACAGCCTCCCCCACCACACAGCCCCCCCCACCACACACAGCCCCCCCCCCACCACACACAGCCCCCCCACCACACACAGCCCCCCCACCACACAGCCCCCCCACCAAACACAGCCCCCCCCACCACACACAGCCCCCCCCCACCACACACAGCCTCCCCCACCACACACAGCCTCACCCACCACACACAGCCCCCCCCCCACACCACTCAGCCTCCCCCCCCACACACAGCCCCCCCACCAAACACAGCCCCCCCCACCACACACAGCCCCCCCCCCACCACACACAGCCTCCCCCACCACACACAGCCCCCCCACCAAACACAGCCCCCCCCACCACACACAGCCCCCCCACCACACACAGCCCCCCCACCACACAGCCCCCCCACCAAACACCGCCCCCCCCACCACACACAGCCCCCCCCCACCACACACAGCCTCCCCCACCACACACAGCCCCACCCACCACACACAGCCCCCCCCCCCCACCACACACAGCCTCCCCCACCACACACAGCCCCCCCACCAAACACAGCCCCCCCACCAAACACAGCCCCCCCCACCACACACAGCCCCCCCACCACACACAGCCCCCCCACCACACACAGCCCCCCCACCACACACAGCCCCCCCCCCACCACACACAGCCTCCCCCACCACACACAGCCCCACCCACCACACACAGCCCCCCCCCCACCACACACAGCCTCCCCCACCACACACAGCCCCCCCACCAAACACAGCCCCCCCACCAAACACAGCCCCCCCCACCACACACAGCCCCCCCCCACCACACACAGCGTCCCCCCATCACCCCCCCCCCACCACACATAGCCTCCCCCACCACACACAGCCCCCCCACCACACACAGCCCCCCCACCACACACAGCCCCCCCCCACCACACACAGCCCCCCCCCCACCACACACAGCCCCCCCACCACACACAGCCCCCCCCCACCACACCCGGGTCTGCCCCGCTTTCCGCTTCACTTGTCTCCGCCCACGCAGCCGCGCGGGGAATGCGTGCGTGTGAGTGTGTACCAATGTGTGTGTGTGTGTACCAATGTGTGCGTGTGAGTGTGTACCAATGTGTGTGTGTGTGTACCAATGTGTGTGTACCAATGTGTGTGTGTGAGTGTGTACCAATGTGTGTGTGTGTGTACCAATGTGTGCGTGTGAGTGTGTACCAATGTGTGTGTGTGTACCAATGTGTGTGTGTGTGTACCAATGTGTGTGTGTGTGTACCAATGTGTGCGTGTGAGTGTGTACCAATGTGTGTGTGTGTGTACCAATGTGTGCGTGTGAGTGTGTACCAATGTGTGTGTGTGTACCAATGTGTGTGTGTGTACCAATGTGTGTGTGTGTACCAATGTGTGCGTGTGAGTGTGTACCAATGTGTGTGTGTGTACCAATGTGTGCGTGTGAGTGTGTACCAATGTGTGTGTGTGTACCAATGTGTGCGTGTGAGTGTGTACCAATGTGTGCGTGTGAGTGTGTACCAATGTGTGTGTGTGTGTACCAATGTGTGCGTGTGAGTGTGTACCAATGTGTGTGTGTGTGTACCAATGTGTGCGTGTGAGTGTGTACCAATGTGTGTGTGTGTACCAATGTGTGTGTGTACCAATGTGTGTGTGTGTACCAATGTGTGAGTGTGTACCAATGTGTGTGAGTGTGTACCAATGTGTGTGTGTGTACCAATGTGTGTGTGTGTGTACCAATGTGTGTGTGTGTACCAATGTGTGCGTGTGAGTGTGTACCAATGTGTGTGTGTGTACCAATGTGTGTGTGTGTGTACCAATGTGTGTGTGTGTGTACCAATGTGTGCGTGTGAGTGTGTACCAATGTGTGTGTGTGTGTACCAATGTGTGCGTGTGAGTGTGTACCAATGTGTGTGTGTGTACCAATGTGTGTGTGTGTACCAATGTGTGTGTGTGTACCAATGTGTGCGTGTGAGTGTGTACCAATGTGTGTGTGTGTACCAATGTGTGCGTGTGAGTGTGTACCAATGTGTGTGTGTGTACCAATGTGTGCGTGTGAGTGTGTACCAATGTGTGCGTGTGAGTGTGTACCAATGTGTGTGTGTGTGTACCAATGTGTGCGTGTGAGTGTGTACCAATGTGTGTGTGTGTGTACCAATGTGTGCGTGTGAGTGTGTACCAATGTGTGTGTGTGTACCAATGTGTGTGTGTACCAATGTGTGTGTGTGTACCAATGTGTGAGTGTGTACCAATGTGTGTGAGTGTGTACCAATGTGTGTGTGTGTACCAATGTGTGTGTGTGTGTACCAATGTGTGTGTGTGTACCAATGTGTGTGTGTGTACCAATGTGTGTGTGTGTACCAATGTGTGTGTGTGTGTACCAATGTGTATGTGTACCAATGTGTGTGTGTGTACCAATGTGTGTGTGTGTACCAATGTGTGTGTGTGTGTACCAATGTGTGTGTGTGTGCTAGTGTGTGTGTGTACCAATGTGTGTGTGTGTACCAATGTGTGTGTGTGTGTACCAATGTGTGTGTGTGCTAGTGTGTGTGTGTGCTAGTGCGTGTGTGTGCTAGTGTGTGTGTGTGTGAGTGTGTGTGTGCTAGTGTGTGTGTGAGTGTGTGTGTGCTAGTGTGTGTGTGTGCTAGTGTGTGTGTGTGTGCTAGTGTGTGTGCTAGTGTGTGTGTGTGCTAGTGTGTGTGCTAGTGTGTGTGTGTGTGCTAGTGTGTGTGTGGGAGTGTGTTGCTAGTGTGTGTGTGAGTGTGTGTGTGTGTGCTAGTGTGTGTGTGTGCTAGTGTTTGAGTGTGCTAGTGTGTGTGTGTGTGTGCTAATGTGTGTGTGCTAGTGTGTGTATGTGTGCTAGGGTGTGTGTGGGAGTGTGTTGCGAGTGTGTGTGAGTGTGCTAGTGTGTGTGTGTGCGTGTGCTAGTGTGTGTGTGTGCTAGTGTGTGTGTGAGTGTGCGTGTAGCGGTTAGCGCGCTGCTCTACGAATCCGGCCACCCGAGTTCGATTCCCGCTCACGGCAAACACCAGTGACCAATATCTGAACGGGTCCTGGGCCTCCCCTGGGTCGATTCAGCCTCAAATGAGTACCTGATGCGGTGTGTAAACATCGCCACTAGAGAGACAAAGACGGCCGGGCGCGGTGCTGGCCACCCCTCGTGTGCCGTGCCGGCCTTAATAGGCGCTCGCTAACAGCACTTGCCCCAACAGTCTTGTTCCAGGCTACACGGGGGATCTTTGTCTTTGTGTGGGAATCGGTGTGTGGGCGTGAAACAAACACACACACACACGCCGACACGCGGGCGCGTGCGCGCGTGTCGGCGTGTGTGTGTGTGTACAAGCAGCACGTGCCGTGTGTGTGTGTGTGTACAAGCAGCACGTGCCGTGTGTGTGTGTCGGCGTGTGTGTGTGTGTACAAGCAGCACGTGTGTGTGTGTACAAGCAGCACGTGCCGTGTGTGTCGGCGTGTGTGTGTGTACAAGCAGCACGTGCCGTGTGTCGGCGTGTGTGTGTACAAGCAGCACGTGTGTGTGTCGGCGTGTGTGTGTGTGTACAAGCAGCACGTGTGTGTGTGTACAAGCAGCACGTGCCGTGTGTCGGCGTGTGTGTGTGTGTACAAGCAGCACGTGTGTGTGTGTCGGCGTGTGTGTGTGTACAAGCAGACGGGAGGGAGAGAGGGAGGAGAGGGAGATCACCGCATGGGAGCGCACGCGGTTCTCCTTCTGCGTCCTCTGGACTCGGCGAATCCCGGCTGCTGAGTCGGGAGAGAGAGAGAGGAGAGACAACAGACGGAGACGAGGAGGAGGAGGAGGCGGGTTCGTGCGATTGGATTAGAGCTCGGATCGTCGGATCGCGGAGTTCATCCGTGAACGGAGGGGTCAGTGACTTTAGATTTACATCTGCGTTGGAGTGTTGTTGGGTGGGTGTGTGATGTAAGTCGTTGGAAGTGTGTGTGAGAGAGACTCAGCCTCTCTGGCGCGGTGTGTAAGTAAACATCGCCACTGGGGAGACAAAGGCGGCCGTGCGTGGTGCTGGCCACCCACCCCCTCGTGTGTCGTTACGGCCTTCATAGGTTGCTGCTACTCGCTAACAGCAACTTGCCCCAACAATTTGTTACAGGCTACACGAGGGGGGATCTTTACAGAAACGGCGACCCGAGTTCGATTCGCGCTCACGACCAACATCAGCGACGATAATCTTGAACCGGTCTCCCCTAGGTCAACTCTGCGTTAAATGAGTGCATGGTGCGGTGTGTCATCAACATGACCACTGGGGAGACAAAGGCGCGCGGGCGAGCAGGCGTGGTGCTGTGGAACACCGCACCCCCTTCGCGTGACACGGTGCCGGCCTGCATAGGGTACAGCACTTGCCCCAATATTCTGTACGCGGCCCTTTGCCTTTGTGTTTAAAGGGTATACGATATGCGTGTACCGCATGTGGTGTGTGTACACGTGTGTACTGTATACGTGTGCGTATACAGTACACACGCTGCTCTGAATAATAAGGAGCGATGCCCGAAACGTCGCTAGGATACAACGGGGGTTTTTTGTTACTATGATTCTCGATTTATTATTCGTTTTGCTGTTCTCTTTGATGCGCCGATGGCTAGTGCGGTGAGGTCCGTGGTTGGTCTGAGATTGTAAATATCGCCGTTGTCAGAGGCAGCTTGAGGTTTAAATGCATTTGTGTGTGTTTGTGCTTTGGCTCATGTGCTGTTCCTGCGGAGCGGTGGCGCAGTGGTTAGCGAACCTTCTGCTGCGAACTCGCCAGAGCCAAGGGCTGCTTCCGATTTCCGCTCACGGCCAACACCAGGAGGCGAACATCTAAACCGGTCCTGGGCCTCCCTTGGGTCGGCTCAGCCTCAAATGAGTTTTTCCGGTGCAGTGCGCATTAATCACCAGTGTTGGGGAGACAAAGGCGGCCGGGCGTGGCATTTCATCGGCGTGCCGTTCCGGCCTTAATACATTAACCCTGGCTATAAGAGCACTTGCTCCAGCGGTCTGTGTAGGCTACACAGGGGATCTTTGTGTGTGTGCGTGTGTATACACAGCACGTGTGTTGGAGAATGTACAGTGGAGTAAATGTGTGTGTGAGTGTGCTCACACGTGGACGTGTCCACGCTTACAGCACTTGCCCCAACGCTCTGTTACGGCTACACGGGGGATCTTTGTTTTCCTCATCATGCAAAAAAAAAGACAAATGTCCCCCCGTGTAGCCTTAAGAGACTGGTTTGGGAAAGTGCTGCTAGCGACTGGCACCTATGAAGGCCGGAACGCCACGCGATGGGGTGGGTGGGCAGCACCACGCCCGGCCGCCTTTGTCTCCCCAGTGCTGATGTGTACACATTTGAGGCTGAGTCGACCTAGGGGAGGCCCTTGACCGGTTCACTACCGCTCCCCCCATACACACACACATGTTCAGTATTTGTTTACATGTGTACGTGTTTACTTTGGAGCGTTTGCTGATGTGCGCTGTTTTTGTTTTCACGGGTGGTGTGTTTGTGTGTTGTTGTTCGTCCACAAACACCGCCTGTGATTGGCTGTCGCCCACGGCAACGCTTCCCAGGGAAGATCCTCTCTCTCTTTCCTACTCTCCCTTCACTCTCCATCTGTACTCTCCCTTCACTCTCTCCCGTCACTCTCCCTTCACTCTCCCTTTCTCCTACTCTCTTTACTCTCTCCCTTCACTCTCTCCCTTTCTCGTACTCTCTCTCCCTTCACTCTCCATCTGTTCTCTCTCTTTCTCGTATTCACTCTCTCTTCACTCTCTCTCTTCACTCTTCACCTGTACTCTCTCTTTCTCGTACTCTCTTCACTCTCCCTTTCTCGTACTCTCTCTCTCTCTCTCCCGTCACTCTCCCTTCACTCTCCCTTTCTCGTACTCTCTCTTCACTTTTCATCTGTACTCTCCCTTTCCCGTATTCTCTGCATTCACTCTCCCTCCCCCTCCAAACTCTCTCATTTACTCTCCCCAACTCCCCCTGTCACTCGATCCCTTTCTCCCATCTCTCTCTCTCCCTTACATCCACCCTCCCTACTCTCCCTCGCTCTCTCGTTTTTACGATCAGAGGAAACAAGAAGATGCTCGGTGTAGTCGGCACTTTGCTCCGTTCATCATTTCGGGTTTTTTTTCGATGCTTTGCTTTATGTAACCCCCCTCCCCCCCCCCCCCCCGTTTTTTTAAAATGAAATATTTCACAAAAGACTTCACGCTCTGCTCTCCTTACCCCCCCTCTCTCTCTCTACCCCCTCTCTCCCTACTCCATGTCTATGTTCCCCCTATGTTCCCCCTATGTAATATTTGTTTCAACATTGTTTTAACTACGACAAGTGCTGCATCTTGCACCCAGCCCCTCTCGCAGTCATTACGGCCACCGACGGGCAGCTCATCTCTGCTCGCCTCCACTCCCCTCACTCTCTCTCCCTTCTCTGCACAAATAAAACAGGCAAACGCAAACTTGCATCGTTCATCATGAACACTGCCTTCGGACAAAAAAAACCCCATTCATTTTCAAGTTTAGATTGAAGACGTTTCTGGCAACGGGGAGCTACTTTAGGGCAGTGACCGTGGTGTTTTGAGAGGCGTTGATTCAGTGCGGTGGTTTGGAGCGTGAATAATGGTTGCGTTCATTTAACGCTGTGAGTCGTCATCATCAACATCATCAACATCATCGTCAGCCCTTGTTTGTCCACTGCTGGATGAAGGCCTCCCCCACGCCATCCCTCGTGATCTGCTACTTCTGCTACCTCATTAGAACCGTGGCCGCTGGTTGGGTTAAATGAACAGTAAGCGGATTCATGGAATGTCGTCATTGTTTTGGCTAATTGACTCAACGGAACACGGTTATTGCATTGTGAGGAGTACAGTAATTGAGTGTTGGAGTATTCCACATCAGCTGTTCGCAGCCACAGTTGAAATATCATCAGCAAGAGCGTCAGCCACCACGACCATCATCAACCACCGCATTCCACAGACGCAGCAACTTTAGTAGCATCATCATCATCAGCTGTAGTAACCAGTTCAAACATTGTTATCACCACCTGCACTCCACAGTCGCAGCAACTTTAGCAGTAGCATCAGCAGCAGCAGCTGTAGTAACCAGTTTAAATATTCTCAGCAGCAGCAGAAGCAGCAACATCACCATCTCACCATACCCCGAAAACCTAATTATGATCCATCCCACACCCACACACACGAGAACGCGTCCGTGTGTGTGTGCTGCGTGGGTGTGTAGGAGTTGCGTCTCCTCTCTCTCTCTCGCTCATCACATTTTCTTCGCCCGCCCGTCCGCCCAAGAGGCTCATGATTCACACAGGAGCAGAGACGACGACGAGGTGGAGGAGGAGGTGGAGGAGTCGCTGCGAAGTAGGGGGTAGAGCCTAGGATCGGAATCCAACCGCGTTTGTTGGCTGAGACGTTGGGCACTGACGGCCGCGGCCTCCTGGTAGGAGCAGTCCGACCGGCTCCTCAGCTCGGCTCAGCCCGTACCTGGGGGGGGGGGAGCTCATCTCGGTTGGTGGTGGAGGAGGAAGAGGAGGTGGAGGAGGAAGAGGAGGTGGAGGAGGTGGAGTGATGTTGCAGCAGCAGCAAACTCCCAGCCGGGGCAGGTACGTGTCGGGTCGTGGTGGGGGAGTTGCAGAATGTTGTGGGGGTCGTAAGAGACCACCATAATATTTTGAGCTCCTGGTCAGCAAAACCCACAGCACACACACGGTTAACACACAGCACACACACGGTTAACACACAGCAGAGACATGATTAATACAACACACGGTTAACACACAGCACACACACGGTTAACACACAGCAGAGACATGATTAATACAGCACACACACGGTTAACATACAGCACACACACGATTAACACACATCACACACACGGTTAATACACAGCACACACACGGTTAATACACAGCACAGACACATACACGGTTAACATACAGCACACACACGGTTAACACACAGCACACACATGGTTAGCACACAGCAGAGACATGATTAACACACAGCACACACACGGTTAGCACACACACACAGCACAGACACATGCTTAACACACAGCACAGACATGATAAACACAGCACACACGATTAAAACACAGCACACACACACTGTTAACATACAACACACACACACTGTTAACATACAACACACACACATTCTTAACACAACACACACATTCTTAACACAACACACACACACACATGGTGAACACACACAGCACCCACTTTGAGTGAGTATGGTGGGGGGAGAGTGACTAGTTTGTGTAGTAGAAGAGTGCGTGTATGTGTGTATATACGGAGTGGCCCATAAGTCAGGACACATGGATATCTCATTTATTCTAACACTGGCACGAACCCGTGGTAATCGTTTATTATTTTAGTTAATATTTTACCTGTTATCATTATTAAAGTCTATTTTTCTTCTTCTTAATGTGGGGTCACCTCCAAAACGTCGTTTACAAAACTCGACCAAGACCCCCGAATGGATGAACTGAGACGAAGCATAATTGATTAATGTTCAGATTACGACGTGTAACTTCGCAACAGCAAACATTTATTAAATACATTTCAAAAGCTAATTCATGCACGCATTTATGTTGATGGCAGTCAGTTTGAGTATTTGTTAAAATCACTAAAATAACCCGAGGTGTCGTGACTTTTGGACCACCCTACAGTGGTCAGTGCACTGCGCGCCATGAACCCGGCCACGCGAGTTCGATTCCCGCTCACGGCCAACATCGGTGACGAGTTTCTGCATCGGTCCTGGGCCTCCCCGTAGGTCGACTCGGCCTCAAATGAGTACCTGGTGCAATGTGTAAACATTGCCGCGAGGGAGACAAAGGCGGCCGGGCGTGGTGCTGGCCACCCACCCCGTCGTGTGCAGTACCGGCCTTTATAGGTGCTGCTCGCTAGCGGCACTTTCCCCAACAGTCTGTTAAGGCTATAGGGGGGATCTTTGTCTTTGTTTTGTAGCTGTGAAGGATTGAGCAGACGAGTGGTGGGTGGGATGCTGTGAGTCATGGGGTGATGCATTAATGCCCTGGCGCCTTGGGAGGTTTAGAGTTTAACCCCCGCACGCACACACTGCACACATACACACTGCACTCACACACACTGCACACATACACACTGCACTCACACACACTGCACACACACACACTGCACTCACACACACGGCACACATACACACTGCACACACACACACTGCACACACACCATTAAATACACACTGCACGCACACACTGCACACATACACATTGCACTCGCACACACTGCACACACACACTGCACACATACACCATTACACAACAACAACCACCATTCGCCACTAAGTGGCGGTGACGTCACCACGACGCTTGTGCCAGGCCATGTGCACCTTGAGGCCACGTGAAGTGTCGAACGCCTGCGGGCAGGAGGTCACGGGGCAGACCCAGGTGCCACAGGTCGACTGACTGAGATGACTGGCTGATGCACCACCTGTGCCCCTACTGTGCCAATCTGCTGTGCTTTAGCCACCCGGCGCTCCGCTCGTTGTTGTGAGCGTCGCTCCTCCGCCCTCCGTTGTTGTTGGAGGGCGACTGCCTTCCAACTGCCCAATAGCGTCCTTCACGAGCCTCCTCCACAGAGGCCGATCTTGACATCGCTGATACCAGTCATCGACAAGTCCACTCAGCTCCACGTCCTCCTGTACCACATCACTCCATCTCTTCTCTAGCCCGTGTCGCACCCATTTAGCCCCCTCGATCCGGCCTAACAAAAGCTGTTTCGGCATGCGGTGGCTGGGCATGCGGGTACATGACCCAGCCAACGCAGCCTTGCCTGTCAGAGGAGCTCACCGATGGGACCTTGCCCAGATCTTTCAAGGATTTGTGAGCTCCTCACACAATCCAGCCTGGTTAAACCCAGGATGGATCGTAGGCAGCCCAGCCTAAATGTTTCCAACCGGCGAAGATGCTCCATTAAGGGGGTCCACGTTTCGCAAGCTTAGAGAAGGGAGGGAATGACCGTGGCCGAGAAGACCTGAAGCTTAGTGCGGAGCGACAGACCAGGTAGCTTCCACACAGCGTTACGCAACCGATGAAAAGATGATGCCGCTCGACTGATTCGGAGTGAGACCTCTGCTGTTAAACTGGAGCTGGTCATAAGCACACTGCCCAGGTATGGGAAACTCTCCACTCTCTCCACAACTGCCCCATCACCGATTGGGAGTTGTGGGGGTGGAGTGTCCGATGGTTCAAAATACCCAGGCAGGTGCTTAGTTTTGGTGGGGCTGATGGTAAGGCCCCATCTCTTAGTGGCACGCTCCAGTCTCAGCAGCAGCATCTCCAACTCCTCCTCTGAATGAGCAGCTATTACCAAATCATCGGCATACATAACATGGTTGAGCAACAGGGAGCCATCCCTTGACCGCACCCGGGCATCGATCAGCCTCCCATTATATCTGTACCAAATGGAGATTCCCCCGGTACAGCTATTGAAGGCTTCACGAACTACGTGGTCAAAATAGATGTTAAATAATGTGGGAGCCAGAGGACATCCCTGTCGCACCCCAAGGTGTACAGGTAATGGCTCTGACTCCCGGCCACGTAGTTTTACCTGGGCCCGCTCACCATCATGAAGGTCCTTAATGATCGTGAGCAGAGGGTCAGGGACTCCAAAAGCACGAAGAACAACCCAGAGCCCAGGCCTCCTGATGGTATCATAGGTCTTGACCGGGTCAATAAAGCAGAGATGTAGGTTTTGCTGGAATTCCCTACACCTCTGCTGTAGCAGACGGACAGAAAATATGGCATCTGTACAGGACCACCTTTTCCTGAAACCGCATTGGAGCTCTGCAAGCCTCTTCTCAGCGTGCCTGGCAAGACAATGTTGAACAATCCTTGTCAGGACCTTTCCCGGCACACTGAGGAGTGAGATGCCCCTGTAGTTGTTACAGTCTGTGCGGTCGTCCTTCTTAACGAGGGTGACCACCAGGGCATCCTTCCAATCCTGCGGAACCCGTCTAGTGGTCCAGATTGTTGTTATGATGTCATATAGGGCAGTCTGTGCACAAACGCCACCCTTCCTCAGCATTTCGCTTGGGAGATCATCTCTGCCCGCTGCCTTTCCTGGTCTCAGACTCCGGATCGCCTTCAGTACTTCCTCAACAGATGGCACCTCAGCCAGCCACTAACAGGGGGTGACTTCTTCCAATATTTGAGGCACCACAGCCTCAGCAGGGTCATCCCCACTTTGTGCCACGATGTTTTCCTGGCTGAGAGATTTTCCCTCCCCCAGGACCTCACAGAAATGCTCGGTAAATCTGCAAACCTGTTCCTGGGGGTCGGAGATTGAATCACCGTTTTTTGTGATCGCGGGTCACTGAGACAGACTCCATCTCCTCAGCAACCCGCGACCACCACCCATCCTTGCAGCACCTCACGGCTCTCCGAACCTCCGAGCGAAGGCTACGGTAAGCCTCATTCTCATTCTGTAGCCGATGACAGTGGGCCTGTCGCTTTTTCTCAACTATCCTGAACACCTTTGTCAGCCAGGGTCTCTGGGGAGGTCTGGACTGCGTACCCAAAGCAGCGAATGCAGCTGCATGAGAGACAGTCCTAAACCTCGCCCATTTACCCTCGACATCAGGAGGAGTGGGGGACGATGCCAACCCCAGCCGCAAGCGATGATTAAATTCTCGCTGGCAACTATCATCAGATAACTGAGACCAGGCCACTTTAGGTTGAAATGGGGTCCTGGGTGTACACCCACCACCGGAGCGGAAGAATGGCAGGCACATCTTACAGATGACAAGTCGATGGTCAGAGGGCAGATCAGCTCCACGGTAGGTCCTGGTGTCAAGGACATGGGCTCGCATCCACTGGTCTGTCACTATGTAGTCCAGCAGATGTTCTTGCTTGGACCCGGCATGCATCCATGATGTTGTGTGGATGCGCCGATGCCGGAACAGCGTGTTGGTAATTACAAGCCCATGGGCTGCACAAAATCTAGCAGCCTCCTACCTTTGTTATTGAGCTGATCTGGCCCATGCCCTCCAATCACTCCAGACCAGGTGCCAGCATCATGACCAACTCGGGCATTGAAGTCACGCAACAAGATGACTCTATCCCGAGGGGCCACTTTAGCCAGCACCTGTGACAGGAGGTCATAGAAGGCATCTGACTCATCGGCTTTGCCTGCATTCCTCCACGGATGTTCGTCTTCGGTGGGGGCATAAGTAACCACGACCACCACTCCTCACCTCCGGTTAATGGGAAGGCGAGCCCAAAGTAGCCTGGGGCTTACAGCTTCCCACACCTCACCGCCACACTCCCACGCCCCATTCATTCTTTTGTTCAAAATAAGAGCCACACCCTGTTGTTTGGCAGTCTGCTGCCCCGAGTAGAGGACTGTCCACCCCTCATGGTGGCAGGAGCCAGAACCAGTCCACCGGACCTCCTGAATGCCACAGAGATCCAGGCGGTACCGGTCCAGCTCCCGACGGAGGAGTGGCAGCCTCTCCTCCGCAGTAAGCGTTCGAACATTCCATGTGGCCATATGAAGTGGCTTTTCGTTGTTTCTGGAGGAGCCCCGAGGGTAGATATTCAATCTCCTGGCTCCGCCAATTGGGGTTTGGCCAGGAGACGTCATAGACGCCTGTCTCCCCGGGGCCTCCGGCACAAGCTTATTAGTTAGATATTTTAGACGTGGTTTAGTGGTAAATTTTTCAAGGTGGAGGGGTTACCAGCTCCTCGCACCCGTCCAGAGCCCCCGTTTAGCCCCTGTGGTGGTCACAGACGCCATGAGGGGAGGAGCCAATCGGAATTGGCCCTCCCCCCACAGCACTGTCCACGACAGAGTTGCCCGTCCGGCACCGCGAGGAGGTAGGGGGCTGTTTTGCCGGGTTGTTTTGCACTCACACACACACCATTACACACACACTGCACACACACACCTTTACACACACACACTGCACACACATACACCTTTACACACACACACTGCACACGCATACACCATTACACACACTGCACACACATACTGCACAAATACACCATTACACACACACACTGCACACACACACATCTTTACACACATTGCACACACATGCACCATTACACACACACACTGCACAAACACACTGCACACATACATCATTACACACACACACTGCACAAACACACACTGCACAAATACACCATTACACACACACACTGCACACATACACCATTACACACACACACACTGCACACACACCATTACACACACACTGCACACACATACACCTTTACACACACACACTGCACACATACACCATTACACACACACACTGCACACATTACACCATTACACACACACACTGCACACACACTGCACACACACACACCATTACACACACTGCACACACACACACCATTACACACACTGCACACACATACACCATTACACACACACTGCACACACAGCAACAACCGCCATTCACCACTAAGTGGCGGTGACGTCACCACGATGCTTGTGCCAGGCCATGTGCACCTTGAGGCCACGTGAAGTGTCGAACGCCCGCTGGCAGGAGGTCACGGGGCAGACCCAAGTGCCACGGGTCGACTAACTAAGATGACTGAGATGACTGGCTGATGCACCACCTGTGCCCCCTACTGTGCCAACCTGCTGTGCTTTAGCCACCCGGTGCTCCGCTCGTTGTTGTGAGCGTCGCTCCTCCGCCCTCCGTTGTTGTTGGAGGGCGACTGCCTCCAACTGCCCAGTAGTGTCCTTCACGAGCCTCCCCCACAGAGGCCGATCTTGATACCACTGGTACCAGTCATCGGCAAGTCCACTCAGCTCCACGTCCTCCTGTACCACATCACTGCATCTCTTCTCTAGCCCGTGCCGCGCCCGTTGAGCCCCCTCGATCCGGCCGAACAATAGCTGTTTCGGCATGCGGTGGCTGGGCATGCGGGCTACATGACCCAGCCAACGCAGCCTTGCCTGCCGGAGGAGCTCACCGATGGGACCTTGCCCAGATCTTTCAAGGATTTGTGACCACCTCGCACAATCCAGCCAGGTTAAACCCAGGATGGATCGTAGGCAGGCTAGCCTAAATGTTTCTACACACACACTGCACACACATACACCATTACACCTGCACACACATACACCATTACACACACACTGCACACACATACACCATTACACACACACACACCATTAGACACACACACTGCACACACACACACCTTACACACACAATACACGCACATACACAATTTCACAGTTCTGCACAGTTAACAAAATTACGCTGCTGCTGTTGCTGATCATGCTGCTTCTGCTGCTGATGACAGCATAGACGAGGTCGTGGGTTCGACCCTGACGCCTGCTGTATATTTGTCGTCTGCTTGTCTCTCTCCCCGTGGTTGCATGGATTTATCTCCGGGTCCTCCGGTTTTCCCCTCCACATTTAGAATCCACGTGCGTTTGGAGTATTTTCACGTGATGATGATGATCCACTTTCGTTGAGCTATCATTTCGTGGCCAAGTCGCTTCTGAAAAAGAGCGATGGTGGCTTAGTGGACCTCACCTGGTAAAATAACAAGTTGAATTATACACTGCTGTTGCTGACCGCCGCTGCTAACGATGACCGATGATTATTCTACCGCCGCCGCCGCTGCTGCTGATGACGAGGTTGCTGCTGATGATGTTGTTGGCGGTGTCGTGGCGGCGTGCGTAGGGAGTTTCTGGCGGAGGTGGAGGGCTCCCTGCTGGGTCAGACCCCCCGCTCCGCCTTCGCTGTCTCCGTGCGGGTCATCGACCCCCCCCTCTGCGACCCCACGGTGGTGAGAGCCCCCCCCCCCGCCCCCCGAGTCGCCCTTGAAAAAGAGCTTCTTAGCTCAATGGGCTTTACTCCTGAAATAAACTTGTAATTATATATTTTTGTTTACTATTTTTTACTTGACCAGTTAAGCCCCCACTGAGCTACGTAGCTCTTTTACAGAAGCGACCTGGCTATCACAAATGATGGCTCAACGACGATGGCTTATCACGTGGAAATGTAGAGCAAACAAATACTCTAAACGCGTGATGTTGATTCTAAATGTGGAGGAGAAAATCCGGAGGACCCGGAGAAAAATCCATGAAACCACGGTGAGAGAGGCACGCAGATTTCAAATATACAGCAGCAGGCGTCAGGGTTGGGTTAGAACCCACGACCTCCTGTATACAAAACGAGGTTATTAACATCTGATCAAGCACACTTGCGGTAAGATTATATATGATAGAAACACGTTTGCATGTTTTTTTTACCACAATTCTAGTGTGTGGTTAATGCAGACCTGATCCCTTGTAAGAGGTTTTTATTTGGCGTTTGAACCGTTTAACACCTCTTATTCCATAAATGGTAAACGCCTTTTTAAATATATAGATACATCTTGATTTGAAGCTTTCGTGACTGCAGGAATTCATACTCTTTGGTCCTATCGGTAAAGTCACGTAGGTAGAAAAATAACTAATGCATCACGACGTTTAGATCGCAACACAAGCAATCGTCTTCAGGTAAAACAATACAGCAGTAGCTCTCTCGCTACATTCCTTCCTGCCTCAGCAGTCCGCCTGCTGTGTTGTTTCACCTGAAGACGATTGCTTGTGTTGCGATCGAAACGTCGTGATGCATTAGTTATTTTTCTACCTACGTGATAACTTTACCGAAAGAAACAAAGAGTGTATGCAAAACATTTAAGCATCCCGGTCCCTTTTATTATTATTTACATTTTTATAAGGCACAGCAGACCCAACAAATGGCTTCGGACCACCGTAGTTTATCGATCATATGACAGGAAGTGGGTTTTTTGTTTCTTTCGAATTGGGAGAATCTCAGCGGTAAGGCGCAGTTCATCGGGCAGAGAGAGTTCCAAATCTGAGGACCAAAGAACCAAAAGAATGCGCGAGCTCCGGCGGAACGTTTTTGCCGAAAGTGTGGCTTGGCAGAGCAGAACGCGCGGCGTGAGAGAGGACGTCAACTTGAACCTCCCCTCCCGCCTCCACCAGGATCCGGCCGCTGGTTCCGTCGCGCTCGCCGGCGCCCCCCCGTCGCGGTCGCCCTCCCCGGGGGGCGGCCCGCCGGGCCCCCACCGCGCGCCCCGAGCCGCGGCCGCCGCCGCCTCCGCCCCCGCCTCCCCGGCGGGGTCTCCGGCGGGATCCCCGGGGTCCCCCGGCTCCCCGCGCGGCGGGGACGGCGGCGGGGAAGCCGGTGTCGGAGGGCCCCCCACGACGCCGTCGGCGGAGGGGAGGCCGCGGCTGCCGGGGCGGCGCGGCTGCGGGGGAGCGTGCGGCGGCGGCGCCGGCGGCGTTGGCGGTCGCACCGTGAGGAGCAGCACGGAGCAGAGGATGCAGCAGCTGAGAATCAGCGGAGCTCAGAGTCCCGGCGCCAGGAAGAGGAGGCGAGCGAGCGGGAGCGACGATGACGACGACGACGAGGACGCCGATGGTGGCGGCGGTGGAGGAGGAGAGCGTCAGAAGCGTGCGAGGAGCGATGGCGAAGCGGAGGTGAAGCGGGCGGTCGTTTCTCCGGTGAGGTTCGCGTACAGACACAGCCACTTGTTGTGTGTTTGTGTGTTGTGTGTGTGCCGTGTTTGTGTGTGTGTTTGTGTGTGTGTGTGTTTGTGTGTGTGTGTGTGTTTGTTTGTGTGTGTGTTTGTTTGTGTGTGTGCCGTGTTTGTGTGTTTGTGTGTTTGTGTGTGTGCCATGTTTGTGTGTTTGTGTGTGTTTGTGTGTGTGCCGTGTTTCATAGGTGCTGCTACTCGCTTACAGCACTTGCCCCAACATTCTTTAGAAGCTATACGGGGGAATTTTGTCCTTGTGCACACATTTGTCTGTGTGTGTGCTACTTCTTTCGCAGGGAGTGGTAGTGTAGCGGTTAGCCCGGTAGTGTATGTATGTTGAACTTCTTTCGCACCATACGTAGCTGACCGTGCTAAACGGAGGTGCGAGACAATATCGCTGATGATATCTAATGCTGTTGATGATGATGGCGGTGGTGGTGGTGGTGGTGCAAGCTGTGTGGGGAGCGGTCGTGGCGCGGTTAGCCTGCTGCGCTATGAAACCAGCGACCCGAGTTCAATTCCCGCTCATGGCCAACACCAGTGACGATGATCTGAACCAGTCATGGGCCTCCTCCACTAGGTCGACTCAGCCTCAAATGAGCACCCGGTGCAGTGTGTAAATATCGCGTTGGCCACCTACCCCCTCGTGTGCCGTGCCGGCCTTCACAGGTGCTTGCTAACAGCACTTGCCCCAACAGTCTATTCAGGCTATACGGGGGATCTTTGTCTTTGCTACTGCGTTCATGACACCGCACGCGTGTCCACGTGCGTATGTGTGACAGGGCCATTGAGTAGAGAGTGCCGTGTGTCTGTGTGTGCGTTTGCATTGTATGCGTGTGTGTGCGCGCGTGTCTGACATACCCACTCAGTTCATACAGCTCTATGAGGGTACCCTTGTGTATGAGATCAACACACCAAGTTCATAATTGTCGGTGTGCATTACATTATGCAACCACTGCCTTCGTGATGCAGCGTGTGTGTGTGTTTGCGCACGACTCCTCTAGCCGCTGCTAGCACAGCGCTACAAACCCAGTCACCTCGGTTCAATTCCATGGCTAACATCGGTGGCAAGTTATACCTGATTCTTGTGATTTAAATTAGCATCTACCACGATGTGTGAACATCTGGCACTCTTAACATCCCAGACCACTCCTTGCAAATGAAACTGGCAACTCGGGTTTCTGGACATCCGTGAAAAATAGCTTCATAGCTCATCGGATTCTCCCAGGATAAATAAAGATTCCGATTGATTTCTCAACTGATTCAACAAAATTAACTTAGCTTGACCTGATCAACGATGGGGGAGACTGGGGCAAGGCACCGGTCAAACCGCTCACGTGACCATGCAGTCTTTCACGAGGTGCTCACTAACAGCGCTTGCTGTGAGTTGAGTCACTTTAACCCTGGTTTCAAAGAGGGGCACCACAGTGGTGAGATGTCAACAATCTCGCCCGGTTTGCAGGAGGTCATGGGTTTGATCCCGAAAACTGACGCCTGCTGTTGTATATTTGGAGTTTGCGGTGTCTCACTCTTTCTCTCCCCGTGGTCACGTGGATTTTTCTCCGGGTCCTCCGGTTTTTCCCTCCACATTTAGAAACATATATTTAGAGAATTTGGCTACTATAAATTTCCACATTGATAAGCCATTTCGTTGAGCTATCATTTGTGGCCAGGTCGCTTCTGAAAAAAAGCTGTGTAGCTCAGTGGGCCTTACCTGGTAAAATAAAAAAAAATAGTTTCGTTTGTAGTTCAGTTTTCAAACCGCACGTGTCAGATTCCGTCCAATCACAGACAGGCGGTGGTGGTTACACGACTTACACTGCATCTTCTTGGTTCTTACGGTAAAGTCACGTAGAATGGAAATAAAATAATAAAAATAAAACATAATAAAATGAAATTCTCACGACGTTTCGGCCACAACACAAGTAGCCTTCTTCAGGTGAAAGAACAGAACTGTCGGGACGACAGTGCTTTAATGAAAACTGCTAAGCTTGGCAGCGTCTTTTAAACTTAAAAGACGCAGTGTTCATTGAAGCGCTGTCATTCCGACAGTTCTGTTCCTTCACCTGAAGAAGGCTACTTGTGTTGTGGCCGAAACGTCGTGAGAATCTTATTTTATTACGTTTTATTTTTATTTTTTTAGTTCCATTCTACGTGACTTTATCGAAAGAACCAAGAAGATGAATCCCTGCAGTCACGAAAGCTTTAAATCGAAATGTACACTACATAAGTCATGTTCACGAGAGACGCGTCGTTTTGGGAGGAAATGCATCTTTCTCCAGCGAATGGATTACAAAAGCAACTTTTACCACAGACCGCACTCTGCTGGATCCTTCCCAGTGAACACAGAACAGCTGGGCCATCGTTGGCTCAACGTTGGTCCAACGTTGGACGTTGGTGCAACGTTGGACCAACGTTGGTTCAACGTTGAGCGTTCCACGGGTCACCGCCTTAGCCAGGTCACGCCGCCTCGGACCACGTGAGCAGGAACCGATGTCCACGGATGTTCACGCGGTTCGTGACACGGGTTCGCGTGTCTCCTCCGGCCACTAGAGGCCGCTAAATTCGCCGAAACGGGATTTTTTTTGTTTGTTACATTCAAGACCTCAAATCGCGACCCTGAATCGTGACGAGTCGTTGAATCGCAAGTGGGTGGGGGGTGGGGGCTGAGAGATGGGGGGTGGGAGATGGGGGGTGGGAGATGGGGGTGGGAGATGGGAGATGAGAGATTTGGGATGTGGGAGATGGGGGTGGGAGATGGGGGGGTGGGAGATGGGGGTGGGAGATGGGGGGTGGGAGATTTGGGATGTGGGAGATGGGGGTGGGAGATGGGGGGTGGGAGATGGGGGGTGGGGGGTGGGAGATGGGGGATGGGGGGTGGGAGATTGGGGATGGGGGGTGGGGGGTGGGAGATGGGGGGTGGGAGATGGGGGGTGGGGGGTGGGAGATGGGGGATGGGGGGTGGGGGGTGGGAGATGGGGGGTGGGGGGTGGGGGGTGGGAGATGGGGGGTGGGGGGTGAGAGATGGGAGGTGGGGGGTGGGAGATGGGGGGTGGAGGTTCGCATCGTCACATCCCTGTTAATTACTCAAAAAATTAGAGGGTGTTTTGCCACTCGCTGAGAAAAAGAAATGCCTGAATGGATTAGACAGCTAAAACGATGACATTTTCTCATAAAATAAATCTACATTGAATACAATCAAAATCCAAGTCATTGCTTGTAGTTCACCCTTTAATTATAAATGTGTGTGTGTGTGCACGCGCAATGCGCATGGTTCACGGGGGTCGTGGACGTCTCTGCTGTTGGCTCTGGCTGCTGCTCGTGCTGCTGCTGCTGTTGTTGTTGTTGCTGTTGTTGTTTTCCCCTCTGATAATTTTGAGAGCCGTGCGGTGCACGTGGAGGGTCCCTCTCGCTTCCGCGAGGTTTTCGATCGATTTTTGTACAAAGACAAAACCAGCGAAATAAAAAACGGCGCGAGTTTTAGTTTAAAAAAAACCCCTCTGTGGTGGTGATGAGGGGACTTTCGTGGCAAACACAGCCCTCGGCTTCCTGCCCCACCACCACCGCACCTCATCATCTCCTCCTCATCCTCCCCGCATCCCTTTGTCATCCTCCTCTTCTCAATTCCTCCCCTCAATAATCCTCCTGCTCACCTTCTCATCCCATTCCTCCCCTCCTCTTTCTTCTCTCATCCCCGCCCCCCCCCCCCCGTCACTCTCCTCCCCTCCTTCCCTCCCTGCTGCCCCCCTTTCAGCTTGCGGTGGGGGTCACATGACTCACGCTGCCCACGTGGTCTGGTCCTCTGGTTGCTGTGTTTGGCCGCTCCGCCGGCTGCGTGGGGCGCGCTGTGGGGCTGGAGGCTGCGGCGCGCGTGGAATGACATGAAGGGAATTGATCATTACGAAGGAAACATATCGACTGCTTGGCCGTTGTTTCATTCCGTCGTCGTGTTTAGTCAGAGGGATTGCTGTGGTCCAGGGTCTCTGCGTTGTGCGTACCAGCAGACCCTCGCACTTCGCTAATCGCTGGGCGATGTGATTTTAAGACGCACTTGAGGGGCAACTTGCTAGATCCTTTCAAGAGTTCGATTCCAAGTCGCACGGATTGAATGAGGTCGCGGCGTTCCGTCTCACACGCTTAGCAAGATGGCCGCCTGGGGCGCGCTAGCTCCCGGCGTGCTCCCGGCAGCGGCTGGCGGGGGCCGAGGGAGGGAGCCGATGGAGCTGGGGGGGCCGACGGAGCCGGGGGGGGGGGGGGGGCGACGGAGCCGGGGGGGGGGGGGGCCGACGGAGTTGGGGGTGGGCCGACGGAGCCGGGGGGGGGGGGGGCGACGGAGCCGGGGGGGGTCTCAACGGAGTCGAGGGGGGCGACGGAGCCGGGGGGGGGCGACAGCGCGAGCAGAGGGAGCCGACACTGACTCACTCACACATCATACACTGACTCACTCACACACCATGCACTGACTCACTCACACATCATACACTGGCTCACTCACACACCATGCACTGACTCACTCACACATCATACACTGACTCACTCACACATCATACACTGACTCACTCACACATCATACACTGACTCACTCACACACCATGCACTGACTCACTCGCACATCATACACTGACTCACTCACACACCATGCACTGACTCACTCACACACCATGCACTGACTCACTCACACATCATACACTGACTCACTCACACATCATACACTGACTCACTCACACACCATACACTGACTCACTCACATCATACACTGACTCACTCACACATCATACACTGACTCACTCACACATCATACACTGACTCACTCACACACCATACACTGACTCACTCACATCATACACTGACTCACTCACATCATACACTGACTCACTCACACACCATGCACTGACTCACTCACACATCATACACTGACTCACTCACACACCATGCACTGACTCACTCACACACCATGCACTGACTCAC